TACATGATTGCAATTCAACACGTCGATGATGAAGATAATGATAATAATAATAATAGTAATTGTCCTGAATTAGCTCAATGTGTAACACTCTGGGCATAGAATATAGGAGAACAATTTAAAGTTAAGGATTAACAAGAAACAAATCTCCTAAGATAAACATCCACATTGGAAATGTATCGTATTTATTAAATAGGATATATTTTAAAGCGTCAGTTGGCGGTCACAAAAAAAAAATGAAAATAAGCAGAATGTAGTGAGGTTTTTTTATTGGTCCGTGAATTGCCTAATCATCAACTAGCGAGAAGGCGAGATTTCATGATAAAAAACAAGAGAGTTCCTTCTTCTAGTGAAGCTTTTGGCTTGGTAGTGAGCAGATAGAGGCAGGAAAGTTATCTCAATCACTGAACCCTCTCCTGCATTGACGGTAACATTTCCTTCTTAGACAATAGAATTGGCCGACACTTACTCCATTGCTTTTTGCTATTTATTATTACAAGAAAACCTTTCGCCTGGTGAAAAGATATCTTTCAACTTACAATGAGAAATCGTGGCGGTGCGACTCTGTGGTATTGGCCTGAAAATAGTTGATGCGACCTACTGCGAAGAAACGGCTATAGTTCGTCGAATAACAGTGTGAGTTACATAGGATATCGTGACAATGCAACAATGGGATATTTCACTGATATGACGTCACACAGATGTAACAGGGTCCCAAATGGTTAATGGCATACAGAAACAATAGGCAAGTAATGGTGGATAAATTAAATCTAATTGCTAAATAATATTAAAACACAAAATATATGTACCAGGTGGCAATTGTAACGACTATGTTGATCTACGAAATATATATATATATTCTTCTATGTGTTCTGATCCTTCAGGAGGTTGGCTATCGTGACTCCGCAATTTCCTGCCCTTTGTAGCTCTTTTGTTTTGTTTGTTTCCTCTGTCCCTCTTGCCTTCGATCTGTCCTGTACAAAATTTTCCAAACCCTCTTTCCTCATTATCTACCGTAGAAATTTCAACTGTCTCTTTCTGGTGCTACATATAAGTGTCCTTTTTTATTACATTTTCTCTAAAACTTCGTCCTTACTCGCATGTTCGGTCCATGGCATTCTAAGCATCCTTCTGTAGAATCACATATCTTTTTGCTAGAATTCTCTTCTTTATCTGTAATGTAATTGTCCTGTATTTACTGCTATATCAGAGGACTGATATTACATAAGAGTTCAGTACTCTTTTCTTAGTTTCTACGATTTTTTTCTGTTTCTTCATATTTCACTTAGCTTTTGGAAGACATCAAAGGCCTCAAGCCACATCGTATATTGTAGACATGTTTTTAGTCTGACGAATAAAGTAAATCACTTTTATAAATAAACGAATGAAGTCTAAATAAATGAGTAAGTAAGTTCTATTTTCATCATTTTGCAATCAGTATGATAGATTTCAGAACAAAAGCGAAATTTGACATTTACGAAGAAAATCATTTAGTGGGATGATTGTGTCCTACGCTCCATTAATAGTTATCCTTCAGATCGTTTTATACAATAAAGTTGTACATACTTTCATGGACCTCCTAACTTTTACTCAATGGGATTATTATGGACACTATGTGCATAGATATCATAGGCTATTCTGTCTTAGGATCTGTCACTATTCTCTCTGTTTCTCATTTCTAATTGGACATAATCATGGTGGTTATTTTACTTCAGCTTTCTGTTTCAATCTCACTACTCTTATCAATTAACTCATTAAAAATCCAAGGTATTTGGAGATTTCAAAATAAATACATAATAGATCTATTTATTATTTGGAAGTTGCAGATTATATATGCTGTGAGAAACCACTTTCTTTACCTCTTCTTACTCAGGTAGTAAATAGAACTGTGATTGGAGACGATTTTCGACGTACGCAGTGCTATGACAGTTCTGGAACAGTTGCCACAATACATTTCACCTCTATTGTTACTGATGTGGACCCAAAGTTGGGACCACAGAAAGAAACACACGGAACACGGATTAGAGGTAAGAAAGATATATTAAACAAAAGGTTACAAAGATAGTGTAAGTGTAAGCGGAGTTTACTATGTGCTAGTGTCCAATATTGGTAGTCGTACGCGGCTGATACTACGGTATTAGCATACTCTCTCCTCTTCTTCTTCTCCTCTCTAGAGTGTTATGTCTCCTACTTTATATAGTCCTGGAAGAGTCCATGTTGTAGGTATGTTACGGTCTCACAATAGTTACACAATGTCATTCGAGGGTATATGGGAACGTCAGGAGAAAAAATGCTTTTTATCATTCATTTTTCTTTCCAAGTTTGACAGGAAGGCAAATATATATATATATATATATATATATATATATATATATATATATATATATATATATATATGTTATGGGACCTTACCCATCATAACATAATGGACTATCCCATATGTAATAAATACTGCGCCTCAAGAGGAAGTAGGGAGTTCAGTCTGAAGTCTGGAGTGAGGTCCGTCAGGAGTCTGTCAATCAGTCAAAGCGAGTCAGTCAGTCGAGTCAGAGGCAGTCCGAAACAGAGTCGCGTTCAGACAATTACTACTAAACCTGATTGTTCGTACTAACCCTTTCTACTCCTCTGTATATATTCCTGTTTGTAATATATCTGTGTTGTTCCATATACGTGTTCGAGTTCTTCTTTATTGGTTCTACCTTGGACTATCAACGTGGTACAAGGAACCGGACCACAACAATATATAAATTGACACTGACATTGAAGTCAACGCACATACGCGACAGTCTGTTGTATGCTAAACGCAATCATCGGGACCAGGATATATATATATATATATATATATATATATATATATATATATATATATATATATATATATATATATATATATTATTATTTTTTTTAAATATGATTCCATCGCGACACAAAATTACTATGTTTCGAAACTGAAACTCAAGTGCCAAGGTTTAATTTCGATATTAAACACTAAATCCACAGGACAGTTTTATTTTCAAGTGATGTTTGGAATAACTAACCGACGAAATGTTTTACTCATTTATAGGTTGGAGATGGAGGTGTAAATATATATATATATATATATATATATATATATATATAAGGCTCAAACACTAATATTCCATGGTTATAATTTATTAAATTGGAATCGTAATGAATTATAACCATGGAATATTAGTATTTGAGCCTTTTATATTATATTCTTGCCCTGTCCTGAACATTGAGTTCTACATGGATCCTATCCTCTTGGAAATATACATATATATAGATACAGATATAAATCACTAATACTATATATATATATATATATATATATATATATATATCCTGGCCCTAATGAGTTAGAATATTAAAAAGAAATCTAATAGATCATATTGATGCGCCATGATTACATTACTGCGTGATTATTTAATATCATTTTAAGAATGACATCAGGAACCATATTTTTATTAAACACACGCGCGTGCACACACACACACATACAAAAGACATGAAATAAACTCATCGGAGGAAAAATATTAGCCTTTTCAGTACAACATTTGATATCAGTCCATAATTTTCCAATTCCAGTCACAAAGAACATTTGCTGGTCTCATCCATTTAACATCCAGCCGCTTGTTTATCAACTGTGTATCTATTCATTTCTTTTTATTAATTTCATAACTATGAAGTAAGTATAAACTTTCCAGGATAGTTTATTTTGAATGTAAACATTACAGCCATGCCAAAAAAAGAGTAAAGCGCAAAACTTAAGAAGTAATCAATTTTTAGATGAGTTTATATAAGTTGAATCTCCTGGTAACGTATAAAAAAATTATGGTCATAATCATATGGATATTAACAGTGAAATCTTATTGGGAGGATTTCACAACTTTA